ATTGTTTTCCTTAACCTGGATTCTTTATTTCTAAAAATGAAGCCTGTGAAACCCATGTTCTCAGGGAGTATAATCAACAAACGTCCATGCATAACTTTTTTATAGAAGTTATGCAGATAAATAATGAGACATACATCCCAAAGCTGCTAGCTGTTCTCTTTTTAGATAACCAAAACCAGGCAGAGTTCTAAAATGTATTGGTACAGTATAAAGAATCTTCAAAGTAAAAATTCATCTTGAAATTATAGTTTATGCTTTCTACTTACAACCTTTCAACTCTGCAGAGCTTAACAGGAATATTTTCTTAAATTTTAACATATATGCATTTTGCCAACCCTGGTGTCTGGAGAGCACAGATTGTTGATTTTATTTATATTTATGAATACCACTAACCTGAATCATCTTATAATGTGTTTTTTCGCATATACATTCGTCTGCTGAATCAGTGTGTAAACAATGAAAAATACAAAATTTTCCTTGATTTTCTTCCATTTGTATTTAGTATTGTAATAAGAAAATACTAGATAGTCAAAACTTTTATCTCTGTTCAGTAGATGCTTTTGACTTGTTCCATGGCATCATAAGCAGATTTATATACACCGTGTATCAGCTGTGGTATTTAAGGTACTCATATTCATAAACAAAAGAACAATTCTTTAGAGGGTTGCAATATCATATTTGATGCAGTTTACTTTGTAATTTGCTTCCATTTTAAATTTATATACTTAAAGAGTGTAAGATGATTCTGGTTTCTAGTTACTCTTTTTTAAAAAAAAAAAAACAACTAACATTTTGGCTACTGCATGGATTACACAGCCATAGCATTTCAAAAGCTGTTATCCAAGTTGATTGTTAAGGTACATATGGAAAAATACTAGAATATTCTAAGCTACTGTCAGTGGTTCATTAAAGTGTAAATTATCAGACAAAATGGTGCTATTGCTATAAACCTTAAAGTATTAACTAAGACTACTAAAAATATAATGTATACATAAATTCCTTTCCAATTTTTATTCTGTTTCTTATAATGTTGTTTGAACATTTGCCCCGCTCTTCATGCTGAGGCAACTGGTGATGTAACTCCCAGCAGATCTGTTTTGTGGCTCTTTTCCTCACTAGAAAAATGAGATCAGAAGGAATAAGATTATTATTCCACATATGTGAATAATAGCTGTATTAATAAATTGTGATTTTACACCTCATTCCCTGTGACAGGAATTCCAGATACATAAACTGCAAAAGCAGGAAGAGGTGTGAGGGAGTGAAACACACTGCTCGGTTCTTCATACCTAGTGACTGTAAAAACTTGCTTCCAGGCCTGTGGCAAAAGGCAGTTCTAGGTGGCAAAAACCAAATTGGATAAATGGGGATTTTGTACTGGTTAGATTGATAAACCTGATAAACAAAAGATACTATGGCCTTGCTTTCTTCTTGTGAAAGAAAGAAGACAATCCAGAAGCATGCTGAATGCTTCTACAATAGACTTGCAGGATTATGCCTATTCTATATAACATATTTGTAATATCACCTATAAAATAGCTGTGGATCGATTTGCTTCCATGAATTATTAACCTACTTGTGAGCCTTTTCTCCCTGATTATACTCTTTCTTAGAAACATGTAGATGAACATTTAATCATGTACCTGCTCTCACATTTCTGATGCACTGCCCTTGTTTCTTTACAGAATGACATCTCACTTTGTAGCTAAATGATACAGCTAAATGATACTGGGATGAAGAAAGCTAAGTTGAATATTTGTGTGACTAGGTAATAGAACAAAAATTTTATTACATCTTTAAAAATAAGTCATAATATTTGCATTAGTCATCACCACCCCCACCCCCCCTCATTATTAGACGTTTTAAAATGCATTGTACAGAATATGAGTTTATCTAAAGGGGCATTTAAAAGAACGATAACCTCTTTACGTAGTCCAATTTTACTTGCATTCCCATTTGAATGTAGCTGAATAATTTCTTTTTTATACCAATAAACAGATGGATCAGCAAGACACACTTTTAATGCATGGACCAAACTGCCTGCTTTCATACCTCATTGCTTACAGTGGTTTTAAGCCAACAGAAGAACTTTCCATATATATATATATATCTACCTATCTCAAGTCACAGTTCCTAGTGTTGTTTCAGGTATATACCATAATCAAAGTGACTTGCTTTACGTTGTATTGGGGGGTGGGGGGGTGGTGTGGGGGAGTGGGTAGTTAAGAACAAGTTAAAGTTGTTAACTTTAACATAAGTTAAAGTTGATGAAAATGACAGTATATTAAAAAATTATTTGAGAGTGGCTAAAACCCCCAGCAAATCAAGCAAAAGCTGTGTTATGTGAACTACAAAGCACTCAAAAGCTATAGACACCTTTCTATAGGCTCTATCATGTGAGCAATTTCATAAAGATTCTTGTGTATATATAAAATTTTTCTAGTACAACAAAACAGTGCTTTGTTTGAAGGAGTTTATGTCTGCTTAAAATTGGATTTTTAACTGTTCAGGTGTGACTGATTTTGCCAAATAGGACTGTAGCTGAAAACTAGATTAAAAAACCAAGGAAAGAGATTAACGACTAGGTGCAGTGTTAACATATGAAATGATAAAACAAGGTTGGATTTCTGTGCAAACAGTCTCTCAGAGATTAGATAAAACCCAGAAGAAGAACCAAATACAAAGCAAGCATGCAAAAGATCTGGAACGTTGCAGATTCACAGACAGCTGGACATGTAAATACAAAAAACCCAACCTGTAAATACAAATTGATTCCATCAGGTTCACTATACAGTACTTTAGTAGTAACAGACAGTTGAAAACAGCTTTCACTTAACAGCAAAATTAATTTTAGAGGGAAGAAAATGGTGAAGTCTCATTCTGGAGAACAGCAAGAGAGGTATTATATTAAGGAGCTAAAATTTTCTTTGGCATGGTAAAAGGGGAGAACTGAGTTTGACAGCCTATTTACATGAAGTTTCACCATCCTGTGGCCAGTGCAATGGTGTTTTGCACAGTCTACTTCTTCCATGATTTTTTTTGTTGTTTTCCAGTATGCCTTCATATAAATCTTTTATTCATCATGTTGAATCTGTGTATACAACAAATAAGAATAAACACAAACTGTACAATGCAGACAAACTCTTTGCATATATGTATGTAAATTTAGTAATACAGACCAACAGTTTTTTGATAGACACAACCTATTACATGCAGTTCATTCTTGCCATCCTCTTCCCATGCAACAGATAAGACAAGAGACAAAATTAAAGAGAAGAAAAAAAGCACAGAGACCCCTTTAGTATGTGTAAACAGACTGTAGAAAAAAGTACTTTTTAGAACAACTGTTCATTGGATTAAACACACATACTAATTTAGCTCATGGAACAAAACCAGAAAATAATTTTTAAAAAGGCTGTATTTCCAGTATGTACTAACTGCTTTCAAAAATTAAATCTGGCCTTAATTATAGCCCCCCAAACTGGTTCGCAGATCGTAATTACTCAAGATAAAAGTTTAATGTTGAAAACAATAATTATGTAGCATCAAGCCATGAACCACAACCTCCTTGCATGGCTCAGCCAGGTCTCCACCCTGTCTCTCCCCAGGCTTTTACACGGACAGAGTAAAAAAGACAGCTGGATGGATGGGACATGAACACATGTATTCCCTCCTCATGAACTCTTACAAAATTCAGGTGAGAGAGAAAGAGAATGTAGCCTTCAGCTGTATTATCTTACTCAAAATACTGTCAAGTGCTCCTATTACAATTGTAGGAAAGCCTGGGGCCTCCTATAGGACCCAGCAGATGGCATGTCGTCAAGGCTGCTGCCTCCCATGGGTCCTCCAGATGCAGAGCAACCCCCCGGCTCACCATGTGAGTTGCTTTGGTTTTGTATTTTTTTCTCAGGTATGGTACACAAATCCCTCAGGACCAGATGGCATGAGAGGGGTGCACCAAAGTTTTTAATAAAGTATTGTTTTCCCCACGCACACATGTTTAGTGCTAGCAGGCAAGGGCACAGTCTAAGTCAAAGTTTCTTTGAATTTTTATCACAGTATTAGAGTAGGTTTGTATTTTTTTTTCTCTACACAGATAGTGGGATTCATGCTTAACTCATTCCCTCCCTAGAAAAAGCAACATCAAGTTCAGGTTGCTGTTCTCATATTACATATACAAACAAGGAAGTCTGACCTAAGGAAAAAAAAAAAAAAAGCAGCTTATCTAGAATTTAGCAGCTTTACAGTAGCCTCCTTGAAGAGTGCACTAAATGTTGCTTATAAAAACAGAAGAACACATTTGAAAACTAGCATGAGGAGTTCATTCAGACTGAATTAGTTGTTCAGCTGAGCAGACAGGGAGTTTGAAATAACCAGTAGACTCTGTTAGGGACTTCAGCACAAAGATGTGGTAAAACAAATTGCCAGAAATACAATGCTAAAAAAAGGAATGGATGACTTCCTTTTTTTTGTCTTTAAATATCAAGGTAACAGCAAGAGGCCAAGAGAATGTTGCCACACAGTTTTTCAGACTGAGGTACAGTTTGGTCCTTGTTGCCCTTTCTGAGAAACAAATACCTTCTTAAGCATGCAGAGAGTACCCATATTTTTAGTCTTCTGAAAGCCTGTGACTAAGTGTGCAAGACTTCAGTTGCATCTCTGCAGCATTCTCTATATCTCTCCCCTGCCCTCCCCACTTCAACATTAGTTTAATTGGTCACAAGTGACAAACTCAAAGGGTTGATGTTTCTGGTAGTATGATCCAAGGCTTCAATTTTTATAATGTTTTTGATTTCTTCTGGGTTCATGTAGGAGAAAGTACAGTATACAGAGATCAAGGCAAGGCACCTTCAATCTAGCAATTTGGTGGGCATATTATCCTAGGAAGCTGGGTGGAGGTACGTACTGGGATATCAGTGAGATACATAGGACCAGACTTTGCATGCTTAGCTAAAAATAAAAACCAAGTTTTGTAATATGTCCAGTTTTAAAACTTTTTTTTAAAACACCAGAAATAATAAACTATAATTTGTAACTACCCTTTGCATTGGTGCTGCAAAAAGAACACAACAACATCCTTGCCCATGCTTTGCTAAGTAGGTGTGGGATTCAGCCAAAAATAACAATGGCATTAAGATCAGTTCCTTAAAAACAGGAAAGGATTATATTTGAAATGGATTTAGGTAGCGCAATTCTGGTTAGTCTTATTTATTTTTATTATTGGTGGTGGTTGTTTTTCAAACAATGAAGATTTAGTAGATGAAAAATGAGCCTTAATTCAGGCCTACAAGGCCTACAAAATTCTTTGGACCCACTTTCCCAAAAATGAGTGGGTCTTGCTCGCTGGGCAAGGCAAATGTTACCATTACCAGTAAGCCTGTGATATGTATAAAACACACACACAAAAAGAACCTATAAGGGGATGCCAAACACTCGTTTCAGAAAACTTCCTGTTGGTTGTGTTTGACACTCTTCCCTCCACTACAATGCCAACCTCAGAAGCACAGTATCTGTTACTGAAGAGTATTCACATTTAATCAATATTGTAAGCCAGAGACAACAATCCTATTCTTTATAGATATAATTTGTAGTAATAGATTTTTTTGAAGGCTTCCTGATTCCCTGATTGCTTTCAAAACTAAACCACTGGCAACGCTTAAGTTATAGAGAAACACAATCCCTGCAAAAGGTCACAGACAGTGGAGCGAGCAGCCTTATAAAAACGGGAAAAAGAGAAATCCATAATAGCACAGGTTTACAGCATCTAACTAGAAATTACTTGATTATTTGTGTGCTACAAAATAGAACTTAAACACATGGATTTTGCTGAAACTGGACTCAAAAAGGGATTATGGGCAATTGTCAGCAGGCAAGGTATCAAGTGTACTTGTGAAGTATGTCATTCACATGAAGTGTCACAGTCACAGAAAAGATATTAAAAAGGCATTCCAATATCTGGTAGGGCATTCCATGGTCTGAGTTTAGCTGGTTCATCCAGGTGTCTTCTTGTTGTGGGTGGAGCTACACGTTGAGATTTATCCACTTGCAACAACTCAGTTCAGAAACAGCAATGGGCAAGTCTGTGACTTGCCACAAGCTGATCCACAGACACTGCAGAGGGGAAGTCTGGCAAGGATAAATTGCTCAACTGTACTCAGGACTCAGTAAGTCACAACACCTGTGAGGATCTGGCTATGTCGTCTTGCTCTTGTTAACTGGTTTGCCGCCATTCATTATTGCAGATGCACTTGTGCTTTTACTTGGAGTTACCCCAGCCTTTGGCACTGTTTCTCCAATATCATGCAAAGATGGTTCTCGATACATGGCAACTGAGGGGAGAAAAGAGAAAAGGAGAGACGTTTTTAAGAATTTATCTATCTCATTTAAGAGCTCATCTCAAAAAGGATTAATTTTCTACAATAACTGATACTGTAATATAATCCATGTTCCTCTTGCATGCAAGGGAAGCTATTTACTTTGACAGACACTTGTTTCGCATGACTGATATCTTTCCTTGACCCTCCAAATTTCTTACTTTTTCTGTATCTGACTTAAAAAGACAGTAGGAAACTGTATGCTTGCTTGTTGAATGGACACTACAGAAGCCTTGGAAATGAAAAACTACTGTTCTGTTTTTGCATGAGGCAGACACTCAAAAAAGTACATATATATATACATACACATATGCGTATATGTATATATACAGCACTTAAATAAATATTCTGCAAGTTTTTAGAAGTAAAATATGATAAGACAGATGGTATGTTAACAAATGGGATCATACGATACAGTTGTCTAGACTTAAGTGTTCTTTTTTAGTCCTACATTGCCAGACTAGGCTCGGGTCTAGTTATAACAAGTTACTTGTACATCGGTCTCCCAAATATGAGGAGCTTGGCCATGATCTCAAGTGTGTACTGAAGAAATGTCCAGGACAGTGCTGCAGAGAGTACACAAGAGGTTTGGGGTTTTTTCTTCCTCCTTTCCAAACATGTATGCAGTAGCCACTGGTCTCCACTGAATGTAAAAGTGCAGAAAACTCCAAATTAAAGTATTAATTGAATTCTTAGAGGAATTAGAAGTTTGCCCCTGGGCTTCAGTCCCTATCTAACCACTTTAAATCCTTTGAGGAAAATACATGTGCTCAATTACAGAGTTCCAGCATTAAGCTGCCTTAATGATTAATGCTCTTGGATAATTCAATTTCATTTTCCATGTCACTGAATCAGGTAATATTTCCACTTATACCTAACTTCAATAGCATTTATTTATATCAGAGCAACGTTAAAAGAGATGTCAAAGCAGTCAAAGGAATTAATCATCACTATGATTTTGGGACTGGCTGTGTGCTGACATAGAGAGCACAATCCCTTCATCCCTTGGCTAATTAGAGTAGGAGACTGGAGCATCAAAGTACTGACCTTGGTCTTCAATGGTGTGAAGTTTCATAATAAATATGAAGGGCCCCATGGCATCATTAACTAATCAGATACTTGTTCTAACATTTCCAATGACATAATGTAAATCCTTTTATGGCTTCTGAAAGTCTGAAATTATAAGTGCTCTCTAGTGTACATAAGGCTGGTTTTGATTTATGTCTTCAGACTGCCTCCATAACTGTGTTTAGGACACTTTGCTGATTAATTAAAAGAGCTTGATGAAATAACACCATGACCTACAAAAATATTAAGTCAAATAACATGAGATGGAACTATAATATAAGGAATTACATAGCAGAGCTGTCATATTTGATGACTCTCATGGGCAATGCAAAGCAAGTTATTTCTAAGCCTTGTCTAAGCTATTTTGATCGAGTGTGACCATCCAAACATTAATGAAGAAAGTAACTTGTTTCCTAATCCATATGAATTCCTTTTAAAAATGCACTGGCTTTCCCTCCCTACAGTTCTTATAATTCAATATAAAGGGATGACATATAAAGTGTCAATATCGTTAAGGGCTCATGAAAATACTGTAAGATTTTGCAAGACGAGGAAAGCACAAAAGCATCAACCTCAGTCCAAATATGAAGTTAAAACATAGGATTATTCAGATTCTTTCCTATGATGAGACTCTAAAACATTTAACAAACTGATCCTTTAATCAAAAACTTTAACTTAAAAAGTTAAAAGAAATGGGACTCAAGTAAAGGTTTACTCAGGTCTGTGTTTTCAGATGTTAAATAAGGAGATAATTTTCAGAATGACTGATGCTGTGTAGCAGTAATATCAGTGAAATTTGGAGTGCCATCAAGGCATCAGGACAAGAAGCAAAAAAGCAGCATAGGTTTATAAAGGCCTGCAGAATACATAGGATAACCCAAAAGTTCCAAGATATGAACGACTATATTTTTCAGAGAATGTGTGACATCATTTACTGTGTAAAGTTAGTATGACTTTTATTTGCTTCTGTCTTGGTTTAAAGGCCAACTTACACAAGTTATGTGCATTACATCAACTGGCTAAGTAATACGGTAGGATTTATTTTATGAAGAGACCTTTATGTTTTGTATTAGAAAGCTTTTACTTTGAAATGCTGACATTTCATCTATTCCCTTTATAACTCCCAATTATCCCATCACATCCGTTATTTCATTCTGCTTAATGAAAGGACTATTTTCTCACTGAAAGACTCACAACAGCTTTTGTCCTGAACGAAAAAATATTTTCAAAACATCACAGTGCACTTCCACAAAAGATTTGTTTTCTTGCAAAATGACCTCTTAATCCCTGGAAAAAACTGTTTTTACATATGCCCTTTCTAGCATCGCTATGCTGAAGCACAAAACCACTGAATCCTGGGGACTGTCATTTGGAATGGCCCCAGTGCCGGGCATGCACATTCACAAAGGGTATTTTAGAAACCATTTCCTCTTCTTCTTGGAGATTTGTAGGAGGATCTGCCAGTGATGGACTGAGCCTCACCTTCCAATGGCTTGGGTAGAAAATGAGCTGCTGGTTTTGTTTTCTTCACTCTGTTTCCTTTCATGACCTGCCCTTCTTTGTTCAGCCCCAAGAACCAGGCCCTCCCGGACTCCTGTTGTCTGTAGAGCATGGATGAGTAGATTACATAGTAATTTTCAAAAACAGACTCCTTGAATTTGCACTCTGGTGTAAAAAGTTCCTGTGGGAGGAAAAGTAAGTGTTAAATTATAACTGTAAAGTTTGGCTTCTGTTCTGTTAACTTCCAAATACCTGTTGATAAGTTTAATATATGACTTATTATAAGGTTCTGCTTTGAGACCAGGAGATCTGTCTTCTTCTAGAAGACCTCCAGGTGAAATTATTTCAGCACCCAAGGATGCCTGTGTTTTCCCATCTATGCAACAGGGATAGTATATTTTCAAAGTAGAGAGCAAGCGACACAGGCATAAAAACACTATTTAAAATACAGGCATAATTATTATTGTGCTTATTTTTCTGATAGGATATCCTTGTAAAGATTAAGAAAGTCTATGCTAAAATAGCATTAATGAGAAAGCAGTTGTTCCATTTTAATATACTAAATGCAACAAACTCCCATTATGGTTTATAACAACTGGTATTTGATACTTAAAAAATGCTTCTACCAACATATTAAAATATATATCATTTCTTAGACTCTGCATGGCCTGAAACACCACAGGAAAACACTATTTTCACCTACAAATTTATGTACAAAGAAAAATTATTCCTACTGACATCCTCCTGCATTCATCCCAAAACTGGAATGCTTTTCAGAAGTCACATTCAGTAACAGAGCAGTTGTCCTAAACTCTAACTAAGGTTAACCTAAGCAAAAACTTCTGTAGCCCAGTAGCCAAATAATAATTTAAATATATTTTTAATAACATGAGTAACAGTAACAAAATAAACAGTATGAACATGTAGTGAGACAGAATTTATCAAAATCCTTCAAAAAGCCCCCAGCAAGTTAATAAGAAAATAAAATTACTTTAAAAATATCACGAGAAAATACGATTATGTGTGAATGTGACTTTCTGTCTTTAGACCCATCTGCTGAAACCTGTGGGTAGATGTGGAAAAGTGGAAGGTAGCTTGCTAAGCTTTCAGAGCACAAAATTCTCAGCTCTGACTCCTCTTTCTTATATTTCCCAAGAAGTAAATATCTGGTAATATCATATATTTTTCACTTCTACATTCACAGTATTTTGTGTGTGTGTGTGTGTCCCACTTTCTTTTGCTCCTGGCCCCATGCAGTACTGTGTTAACACTCAGCAGGTAACATATTTTCAGGGTCTCTATGCCATCCCCAGTTGCCTATATCTTGTATGAATTTCACAGCCGTTCCTGTCACAGATTTCCTTTTTGGAAACTAAATTTCTTAAAGACACATTTCCCCATACCACAAAGCATAGATGAAATACTCTTCTGAATCTGCACTAATGTCACTTAGTGCACAACCAAGTTCTCCTAATGTTGTGGGGTACACATTATTTGTATTGCCATGCCTTAAGTCACCACCTGTAAGCAAAGCTGTCTTGATGGACACTGGGCACACTATTAGCTTTGTCAATTACGGACCATCTTTTAACCTCAAATAAAAAGATTTATTGTATTTTAACCAGCAACTGACTAAAAGCAGTTACTGCAGCAGCTGGGAAATAATTTGTGAACCTGCCCTAAAATAGGTTGCTTTGTCAGTGTGAGGAAGGACGCTTAGTGTCTATAGGTCACGCTCATTTATAGGATGCAAAACCCACTTTCTGATGTGTGCAATGGCCATCTTTTCGCACTACCACTTCTTTGCCACCTTTGTGCACAACTATATATATATGTATATACACACATGCAGAAATGCAAACACAGTCTGTACTGGAGGCACCGAAAAATAATGACAGGGAATAACAGCACCTTCTCCTTTGCCACAGGGCTTTTTCTCTCTCTGTTCCAAGACTTTAAGACATCTGTTGTTTGTGTTACTCTCCTTTCTCCTCCACTGATTTCAAATCACAGTAGGGCTCAAGGAGACTCAAAATAAAACCAGAAGGCAGGGTGGCATGCTAGAGGGAATGCCTGTTAAAGCCTAGCACAAGCATTTACATGTGAGTCATGTTTCTCAGCTGTTGAAACAGAAGATGCTAATCAGGAAATGCCTACACAGCTCTCCTTATTACCTGCTTCACTGCAAATGCTACCCCCTGTGTTCCCCACTAAGTTTTACTTCCTTGTAAAGCTCAATTACCATAAACACTACTTCTTAGCCAATACTCACTTTTTGCTATAAACAAAACCCGTTTGGCATTCCATGCTTCTCTGTACCAGAGATGGTTGGCTGCTTGTAAATGCTATTTGTGTGTTTTCACAAATAATATCCATTAGAACACTGAAACAAGATTCCTTCAAATCATATCCCACCTCTGAATCAAACCTGGTTCTTTCCTCTCTCATTTCTTTGACACATACAGTAGTGTTTCTGACAGTGCACAGCATATGAAGCAGTAGCTACTTACTTTACCAAGTCAAAAAAATGAATGATGTCTACACAGTTACTTGGCTGCTCCTGGATGCAGACTGATAGAATGGACAAACTGGCATCACTATTATTTCTTAGTTATGAAAAGCACAAGAATAGTCTGCTGATTTTTTTTTTTTTTTTTTTTTTTTTTTTGCGTACAAGGAGGCACCAAACCTGAATACTGTATTCTGCCCCAAAGTTACGCAGCTATCCTACTCCAGATGTCCAGGTAGTGTAACAGCTTTGCATTCACCCAATATATTAGGATGCAATTCTAACTGGGATAAACTCCCAGTCAAAATGTCACTTAAATACATGTTACATTAAAGCAGGCTCATAGTTGCACCAATGTGGAGAGTAATGAACAAAGTTTAGTCACCTGATGGTGACTGTGCTGAACTGCAATGACTGGTTCCTCTGAGGAATTACTCAGAAAGAGACTTCCGAAATGGGCACCTTCCCTGGGGCTCAGATTGGAACTGAATATTTCTAAGTTGAGTGATGTCTAAAGCCTTGCCTCGGACACCATTTCATCTGGGTGAAAAGCTGTAAGCACCTACATTTTCTCCAGTAAAGCAGCCATAACACCTAAAATGCTGTTTCTGCATGTACCTAGGCCAAATCTAGATCTGTGTACCTAAGCCTCAACCCAGTAAGAACTCTCAGAAAATGACTAATGTGCTAACAACACTGACTTTAAAAGAAGTCATCCACAGATGGCTTTATTCGAATCCATTGCTGGAGGGAAAGCCAGTACAACAGCATTTTATAAAAGAAACTCAATGGTGAGGGCACTCCCCTAGGCTATCTGCTTATCTGTATCCAACCTGAAGGAATACAAATCTGCATCTGGTTGACATGAATAATTTATATCTTCCCTGCAAGAATTACTTTTTCGGTTTTGATCCCAGGACAGTCTTTATGTTTTGTATTAAGAAATGAATTAATAAATCGCAAACCCAGACATGATTTGCAAAGAAGAACTTGTGCTCAGGATTTCTCTTCCAGTGTCAGTGCCCAGATGTAATCCATAGTCTTATATAAAAGATGGTTTTCTCCTGTCAAAGCAACATTTGAAAAATAAAATATAAACCAGCTGATATTTTCCAAAACCCCAGGAGTGGGTTTTGGCTGTAAACTGCAATCTGATACAGTTTCCTGGGTCCTAGAGAAGTGAACAGTGTAATAAATTGCACCTTGCTGAGAATTTTCATTTGGATATTTTTGCCAGCTTCCCATCAGGCTTTGCTTGATATGATTCCTATTGGGAGATGTTTTAATTCTCCTGGTTGCTGTAGCATTAATAAGTATCACAACACACAGGTTGTGGGTTCAAACTCTTGGAATCCAAAAGTTCTGTCATTGGGGAGTTCTTAGTTTTAGGGTCCCCACCAGTGTTGCCAAAACTCAGCATTGTAGTATTACATCATGATAGTGGAGCCTTAGCTCATGGAGTCATGTGGTGGTGTCAGAATCTACTTTCATTTAAGAACAAAACAAAAATGCAATAAAGGAAAAAGAGCCATTATCCACCTCTCCAACTTAGGAGTGCCTGAATGAAGGAGCTCAGATTACCTGTGTTTTCAACAAAAAGAGATTAGTATTGTTGGAAAGCGATTCAGGTGATAACTGAGATGAATTCTCTACCAAGTAATTCCTTTTTGTCAGTCAGAGGCTGAAGTCTGACGTGATGAAGCTAGGGCTCCACACTAATCAATAATATGGCACAGTAGCAAACGGCTGTAGTTCAAAATCAAAGTACAGCAAACTTTACTGTCCCACAAGTCATTGAGTAAATGAAAATATTTAAACGGGTTATCAGTTTAACTTCCAGTTGCTGGGCCTTCACAATTTAGTCTGTTCAATTTAGCTAGCTTTTCTGAAGTTGCATATATCCATTTGTAGCCGTGGTCTTTCACTTAAAAAGAATCCCACAAAGCATGGAGTTTTTCTACTACAACTCTTAGAAAGAAGAAATAATTATACAGCTATGGACAAGACAACTGTGCTGTGAACCACAGAGTTACAAAATAAAAACTAGCATGACAACACAGCTAGCCATATAGCTTCTAGATACTGTTTAAAAATTACGTGAACGCCTACAATTTTAAACTATATCTCTGTTCAGTAAGTCAATAATGAACTGTCCAGGCTGAACAAAAAATAACCTTCCACTGCATGCCATTAGGGACAGCATAAGACCATGGCTCTACCACGCTCATCAAATCAGGCAGTTCCAAGGACAAGGGCTTCCACAGAAGTTTCCTACCTTCTACTCCTGAATCTTCAAGTCTCTTTAAATTTGTGTTTTATTCTGAAATATAGGAAAGGAGGGTATCATTCTAGTTACAGCTCACAAAAGTGATATAGCCAGCAGTCAGCTTCTTGAATTGTAGCCAGCAGTAAATAAAGAGGCAGTGGATTCCCCTGGAGATAGGCACAATGGGACTTGTTCACCACACCAGGCACCAAAAGCACAGCTGCGGGCTGAACCAGATATAGCTTCTCCTTGGTGCCAGCACAACCACAAGACAAACTCAAAGAGATTTCCAGGTAAGAAACAGCCAGTCTAATTTAGCACTGTAAGAAAACCCTAATACTATTTATTATTTGCACTTAGAAGCCCAGGTCATGGAACAGGGCCTTACTGCTTTGGAAGTACAGGC